GAAAACACCACTTTAGGATTTTGGGCGGAAAGAGAAATGAAAATCGACAAACTATTAGTCACTACAGAAGAGAAGAGGGCACCCATGGACAAGTGTTATAAAATGGGCACCAACCTTGATACGCAAGAGATGAAAGCAATAGAAAATCTTATAGATGAATTTCAAGATGTATTTGCCGTGGATGTCAGAGATATGGGTGCTACTGATTTAATAGAGCACAAAATAGAGCTGACTGAACACACTCCATTCAAAAGTAAACCATATAAAGTATCTCAGAAAGAGAGACAAATTATCGATGAACAGGTTCAAGAGATGCTGGAAGTGGGTATAATAAGGCCTTCACAATCACCATATTCAAGCCCAATAGTACTAGTGAAGAAAAAGGGAGAAATCGAGAAAAGTAGATTCTGCGTGGATTACAGGAAACTGAATAACATTACGAAAAAATCAAATTATCCACTAACTAATATCGACGAGATTTTGACATACTTCGGAAAATCCAATTATTATTCAACACTTGATTTGTTCAGTGGATACTGGCAAGTTGGCATTGAAGAAAAATCCAAAGAATATACCGCATTTGTGACACCTGGATTTGGACTATATGAGTTCAACAAACTGCCCTTTGGACTTTGTAATGCCCCTTGTACATTTTCTGATCTAGCTGATAGAGTCTTTCAAGGACTGAAATGGTCCAACGTTTTAGTATACTTGGATGATGTGGTGATTTTTTCAGAAACCTTTGAGGAACACCTAGTGCGACTGAGAAAGGTATTTGAAAGACTTAGACAGGCGGGATTGACCCTGAAAACGAGTAAGTGTACTTTTGCGGCCACAGAAGTCAAAGTATTAGGGCATATTGTTGGCAAGCATGGAATCTCACCAGACCCAGAAAAATTGACGGCAATATCAGAATTTCCAAGACCAAAGACAAAACGTCAGACACAGAGTTTCCTAGGATTAGCGAATTATTACAGAAAGTTCATCGAAAACTTTTCAAGGATAGCAAAACCACTTCATGATGTAACAAAAAACGAACCTGGATTTTTTTGGACACTGGAACAAGAAAATGCTTTTGCACAATTGAAATCAAAACTAATAGAAGCACCCGTCCTGCTACATTTTGATCCGAACAAAGGATGTGAATTGAGATCCGACGCGTGCAATGAAGGATTGGGAGTTATAGTATTACAAGAGCATGAAGGCCAAATGCATCCCATTGCATATGCAAGTAGGTCACTAAGTAAGAGTGAAAAAAATTACACGATCTCAGAATTGGAGGCACTAGCGATAATTTGGGGTTTGTCATATTTTAGGCATTTCATTTACGGGAGACCAGTAATAATCAAAACGGATCACCATGCACTTTGTTTTTTGAAAACTTCGGAAAATGTAAGCGGGAGATTAGCGAGATGGGCCATAAAATTGAATGAGTTTGAACATGAGGTAGTATTCAAAAGTGGGGCAGCTCATAAAGATGTAGACTGCCTGTCACGAAATGCAGTTTTACCGCCAGAAAACGAAAATGACGATTGGTTCGACATTCCCACCTTCCTCCTTACTGGCGAAGACATAGCATCAGAACAAGAGAAAGATAAGGATCTGAAATTGCTGATAGATACGGTGAAAAATCCCAACAACGAAAATGTAAGTATGAGTATCCGAAGAAGGGCAAAAAACTTCGTCATTATGAATAACGTGTTATATAAAAAAAATGCATCAATTGAAGGACTCGAAAATTTGTTGGTGATACCCAAACATCTTGTGGTTAATATTTTATATTCATCACATAGTGAACCACTTGCTGGTCACTTAGGGATCTCACGTACTTATCAAAAATTGAAAAATAGATATTTTTGGGACGGTATGCAGAGAGATGTTGAAAAGTTTATTAAAGGATGTCCAGACTGCCAGGCGAGAAAAGGTGAAAGAAACCGTAGACCCCTGGGACTATTGCAGCCCATTCCGGTCGGAGTGCCTTTCCAAAAAATTGGCATTGATTTGTTAGGACCATTCAGAAAATCGACTAATGGGAACAACACTATAATTGTAGCTATTGATTACGCTACTCGATATGTAGAGTTAGCTGCAGCACCGAATGGTAAAGCTGAAACAGTTGCGAAATTTATATTTGAGAATATAATAGTTAGGCACGGATGTCCGAGAGAAATTTTATCAGATAGGGGCCAAGTCTTCAAATCAGATATGATTAAAGAATTGTTACGAGTAATGGGGATCTGTAAACAACAGACGACGGCATATCACCCACAATGTAATGGAAATTGCGAAAGAAGTAACTCAACAATCGCAGCAATTTTGAGTACTTTCACGTCAACGAGCCAGAATGATTGGGACTGCTACGTACCACACGCACAGTTCGCAATGAACTCAACCCCTCAGAGCACGACAGGACTAAGTCCATTCTTTTTGACATATGCGAGACACCCTGTATTGCCTACAGAAGCGAATTTAATGAGTCAGGTATCCAATGACGATATTATTAAAATTAGGGATAGGGCACTAGCTGTTAGAAATATAGCAGTCCAAAACATAGAAAAACAACAAAAAATAGATAAACGGCGTTATGACGAGAATCATCGTCACATAGAATATGAAGTGGGGGACAAGGTGAAAGTTTTCACGCCATTACGAAAAGTTGGAAAAAGCGAAAAATTACTTTTGAAGTACCATGGGCCATATGAAATTTTAGAGAAAGTAGGGCCAGTAACTTATAGAGTGAGAATGGGATCAGGAAACAATGCTAAAACAGATGTAATCCACGTGAGCAGAATCCTGAAATATAACGATCCTTGGACACCTGCCATAACAGGGACCTAATAATTATTTTATTCATTATATTCATCATCATATTAGTTATACGATGTTACTAACGAATAATGTTAATATGTTTCAGAACTAAAAAGTACAATATTGGAGGTTGATAAGACGATATTCCCGCGGGAAAGGTACCTACCCACTAAGATGCATTATGAGTTATGGTATAAGGTAAAAAGGCAGCCGTTTTTCTTTAGAAGTGTGTATGTATACTATGAAACATGATGAATATATGACAGCTATCATTGGGAAAGGAAAAAATTGAGAATTGAGAGTATGATGTGTGCATGTTGAAAAATTGCTCTAAGATATCCTCGCTTTTCTGAATCCTAGGCTAAAGAGTGTGGGTATCATAGAGCAATGAGCGAAATTGTGGAAAAAAGTCTGTGCACAGCAAAAGTAACCGGTTACTGATAATTGAAAATCAAGAAGAAAGATTAGAAAACAAAAGGGTTTAAAAATGAGAGAAATTGTTAATAAATTAATGAAAAATAATATTTCCATTTGGTTACAAAGAAGAAAATAGACCCCCAAACGAAAATATAAATCTAGGAAAGTGTGTCACCAAAGGTGGAATTTATTATAGATTTAAGTTTGAAATAATGTTACATGTCTCTCTCTTAGGAAATTTGAAATAAGGTCATTTAAATGTATTAGGGCTGAGACATTCGAAGGCGGGTACCTACTATACTATAAGCAACCACTCCGCAGAAGATTTACCAGGTTATGAGACTACCAAGGCATATCACACATACCAAACCATACGTCGCATGACAGATTCCGGTAGGATAAGTAGAAGCTCAGGAGACAATGCCCTCAACCACCGTTCCCAGACAAATCAGCCTTAGAAGAATTGTTAGTACCTGATTACCGTTGCTTGAGCTAGCGTTAGTTCAAGGGCACACCATACGGTTACAGACGTTGGTTCCGATTTTGATGGGCTCAAACATGACTCAAACTCCCAATTACATCATGGTGTGGTTAGAGGTGAAGAGAGGTTATGTGACGATGGTAATGTAATATCGATGCAGTTGAAGAACCTTCGAAATGATGGCAGCTACTTGATTTGGAGGATGGCTTTAGAGAAAGGTACCGTCTGAGGATGTCAAAATGCCATGTTGTATTGATGTATTTTTCATATTTATGTTTTAAAATATATTGCTTCAATTGCAAATTAGAGTAGCTATGTATATTGTAGGTAGATAGGATTATCACTCACTTCAAGATATCGCTCGGGACGAGCGATGTTCGGCCGGGGGGGTAATGTCATGAAAGCGAGTGTAACACCCAGTGTAATCAAATTTATAATCCATTTACCTTGAACGATTGAACACCCAAATATTATTAAAAGAATACAATAATTTGATCAACATCACGTATGGGAAATTAAAAAACTCATCAGGTATTGGGATAGAAAGATTTGAGAGGTAGGCGGGTAGTGAAGGTGCCCAAGAGAGTGTTCGGCCGTTTGGGGGTCCCTGGCCAAGGGCATGGTCTTAGTTGTAGTCGAGAAGATAGATGTATCTATAAAAGTAAGTAGAATTGTAAACTAAGGAATATGTGAATCCCACTAGAGAGATTTGATCATTAATTAAAATAAATTGTCACTGGCCTTTCTATGGAAATTAGATCATTTATTGACACACCCTACCTAGTCAGTCGTGAAACGAACCCCCTTTCACGACAATATGAATGAATGAATTCAAAATTCCTATTATTGTTTTAGTCCCTGATTGCATCAGGAGATAATGTCATCAGTTCTCCGACGCATCTGAATAAGATGTTTAGAAGAATTTGGGATGTTTAAGTAGCAGTAGCTGTGTGCAAAGTCAAGGGTTGCTCTAGCGAAATCAATAAATTTACTACGCTTGGAATTAGGTGGTGCATTACTCCTTGCCAAGTTGATGAAAGTAATTCTTGATAATTTCGATTTAAATATTGACCGTTGTTATCTATGGACGGATTCAACAATTACGTTAGCATAGATACAGGACGATCCAAGTGAGCGAAAAACTTTTGTGAGAAATAGGGTAAGTGAAATTCAATCATTGACTGATAACCCCGCTGATTTATTGTCTCGTGGATGTACACCTAAGACACTGATGGAATCAAAACTATGATGGAATGGTCCTGAACGGTTTTCTGTTGACAATTCGGAATGGATCATGGATGATTATAAGATAATTGATAATATTCCCGAGCAACTTTTATGTGACTGTACTTCGAAAGCAAGATGCCTTGAAGCAGGTATAAGATATCTCCGCATTCGATGCCATGTCTTGAAATACAAATGGAATAATTCGAAAAAGCTACCCTCGCTAGGGTCTCTTGTTAGAGAGCAGGTAAATGGACGCCTGCATATACCGTTATACCGTTATAAAATTCTCGGAAATGCATCAAGCGTATTAGTGGTTAGGCACGAAGTGAGAACGGGATAAGAATCAAGGTTGGAGTGTGGAGAGAGCGATGGGCGCTCATGTCTAGGAATACGTTGAGGAGTGGGAGATGTGAAGCTTTCTTGCCACTATATCGTTGGAAGGCGATTCAGCCTTCAGCCTTAAGTATTCACTACTTCGAGACACAGCGCGATTCATCGTATTTCTTAAATTCAACGTCAACGTTAATTTTTTTTCAATTCAGTATGTCGTCTGTGTGGGGATCATTCAGCGACTAGTCTGCCGAAGACTTGTTCCGGAGTAACATGAACGCGGACGAGTGGCCAGCCTTGGCGGAGATGTGTCTCGACAATCTGAAGGAGACCGGAATGATGTATCCAGTGCCGGAATTGATCTCGCCCATTCCAGAGGATGTGATTGTGCCTTTAACGTCTGTACCTCAAACGCCTTCAACGTCGATTTAGATAGCCAGAGAGAAAGATGGAATCATGGCGATGATTCAACCCGCTGATCGAGAGCCGGAGCCGACGCAGAAATATAACGGTTCCGATAAGTTCCCGAAGGGGATGAAGAAGGAGGTTTCGAAGCCGGCTGAAGTAAATGAAGTGACAGCGACCGCCATAACAACGCCGATCGCAGGGTCATCCAAGAAGCGAGGAAGGAAGGCGAAGATATTCTTTGATGAATTGGTTGAACCGGCAGAAACTATAGCGTCAATGCACAATATTTCGAAGCGCCGACACAATAGCTCGCCGCTAATGAAAAAAGTGTTGGAGAAGTCTGTTGCGGCCTCAGTGACTACGTCCGCTATTCCACCGGCAGATCCTATACATTCAACTTCAGCTGATCCAATTCCGCTAGCTCAGTCAACTTCGACTGCTCCAATTCCACCGGCTCCTTCTTGTTCACCAAAATCTTACAAAAGATCATCGGAGTTGCAGAGGGCATCATCAAGTAAAAAAACAGAAGACAATCACATCATCCAACGCAACTGCTGCTGTGTACAGAAAGAGCATCGTGATGTATTTAAAAATACAAAAATTATATCGAAGAGCTAAAATTGCGAATTCGAACAGCCGAACAGTTGAAATCCAAGGCTAAGGAGGATGCTAAAGAATACCACCAAGAATATGCGGCAGCTAAAAAAGCTATTTTGATAAATGGACAAGACAGGCAGCATACGGAATTGGAGATGTTGCAAAGGGAACGTGAGCGTCAAGTGGCGTCTCTTCAAAATATAGACCAGACCATCGGGAGAAATAGTGGGACAGCAGAGAGAACCCGAGAAGAAATTAAACTATTTTTAGATCTATTTGCTGATATTTCAAACGAAGTCGAATTAAGTTTGTGTTTCGGATCATTCTATTCGGTAAACCAATCCCACCATCTCTATTTACCGTTAAAAAAAATATACAACATTCCAATCCCATCCCTACCCCAACCAAAACCCCTCATCTTTTATCCCCCCTGATCCACAGTATCATAATTTGACCATGGACATTAATGACAATGACATTTGTTGTTGGTTGACTTGCCATTGACAATGTAAAAATGTAAAATGCTTTCATTCTCATTCTATATTTATCAGTTATCACTTCTCTTTCAATAGTTCCATATTAGTTATTTTTCAAATTTGAATCATGTGAGCGAAAACGATCACGGCGAAAACCAAAAGCAAGATCTCAATCGAATCGCAACTAGCAAGAACGGCCACGATTCGTCGTTGATCATGTACGATTGAGATCGTCGAGTAGAAAATTGTCAAACGCAAACTGTGGAAATGGGCAAAATTAAGAAAATCAGGAAATTTAACAGCTCCTGGTTGTCTGAATCTTGGGCTGAAAGTAGGTACTTAGGTATATTTTGATTATTCGATTAACAATTACAACATTGTATTTCAAGGTTGGCTTGTTGATCTTGGTGCAAACTCTGAAGAAGCATTTTGTGAAATATGTCAAAGTCAAATTAGAGCCCACAAAACCGATTTAATTCGCCATACTAAGTCAAAACTTCATTTGAATGCAAGTTCAAAAATAAATGTAAGACCAGGAAATCAAATAACTAAACACATGAAAGTTGTTTCCTCTGGAGCTAAAGTTATGGATCTCATGATAGAGGCTCATATTGCTTGTCATTCATCAATCACATCTGTAGATCACTTAGGTGAATTATTAAATAATTAAAAATTAACTTCCAGAGTTAATTCTATTGAGCAGAACAGAACAAAATGTACAACATTGATAACAAACGTTATATATCCATCTTTATTAGAGGATCTCCTGGAAGATGTTAGTGATGCAAAATATTCTCCAATAGTGGATGAAAGCACAGATGTAACGACTAAGAAATATTTATGTTTATGCATAAGGTATTTCAGTGCTAAGCAGTGTGACGTAAAAACTGATTTTCTAGTTCAACTAGAAGTTGAAAAAGTCACTGCTGAACAATTGTATCTGACTTTGACAAAATATTTGAAAACTTCGAAACCAGATGTTGAAAATTTGGTGGGATTAGGCACATATGGGGCAAATAACTTATGTGAAAGAAATAATTCTCTATTCACATTGCTCAGAGCAGATAGTCCTAACTTGCAAATTGTGAAATGTATTTACCATTCTCTAAATGCAGTAAGTTAAGCATCTGAATCGTTACCCAGAAATTCAGATATTATGTGTAGGGAAATATTTAATTGGTTCCATTGCAGTCCTTTGAGAAGAAACATTTATTTGATACTTTCACTACAAATGAGAGAAACATTTTTCATTATTTTGTTCAATTATCAGCCACAAGATGGTTATATGGATATAATGTAATTAATATTATAATTGAACATTATGAAGACCTAGAAGTTTATTTTATCGCCATTATTGTCGATAAGAAAAAATAATATTCCGCTCTTTTGTTGAAAGACATGTTGAATGATGAGAAAAATGTATTTAAAATTTTTTTGTATTTGATTATTTTGAAGCCAATACTCCATGAAATCAACAACTTAAATTCATCTTGTCAAATAAAATTTCACATAATTTTGTTTCTGGCTATAAATATTATGAAACCTGTTTTTACTAATACTAACTCATTGGAATTAATAATGAAAAATTTTGATAGTGAATTGGCTTCTGAAAAACCTGAAGCTGCTTATTTGGGCATAGAATATTGCAGAGAAGTAAAAAAAGGGGGTTAAATGCATTTGAAATTGAAGGGGTTGATACCTGAATGTGTATTTATATAAAATCACTCTTGGAAGAATCGTGTAAAAGATAACCTGATGATATTGATTATTTAAAAAAATTAGAATAATCTTCTTCAAATATCATTTTATGTCAGACATGCTGTGAAGATTTCGAAGGTTTTCCGTTTTTGAATATATATCAATACAATATTATAAAAAGTGTTCAGTGAAAGGATTTTACGGACCCGATTACTTTAGATAATTCTTATGAACTATGAGTACCTGTTAAAAACCATAAAAATGCTGTGGGTAGACTTTTTTCAACAGAATAAGCTAATTTTGATTTTGTTTTATTTCCTCTACCAAGCAGCAATGCTTCATTATCATGAAAATAGTAAAAAGCAACTCCTTTAAGAACCAAGAGTTTTTTCTTCACACAAAATATATGTTGTAACTCATTCAACCCGTCAAGAAAAATGATACAAAAAGTCACCAACAGTATGTAAAGCAATAATAACCATACTGAAGAAATAGACCAAGACGTATTATCTCTTCAGCTCATAGTTGAAGAGGATGCATAATATCCTGTATTGTAAAACCTATAAATTTCAATTCAGGAGGGATTTTTTTTTTCATAATAGTGATATTTTTTTACCTGTGCCTGTGCCTTATAAGACTAAAATAATAAAATTTCATGAACATTGTATTTGTTGTTTTTTATTTTCTTAAATTTATGATCCTATATATTAGGATGGAGTCACTGTATTAGCAAGCTGTTGACTCCTCCATCTATAGACACTATATCTAAAAGTTTGATGCAAAATCTTTGACTGAAGGTTAATGGTCTCTGTAATGTAATGGTATTAACTTTCCTTCTTTCTCTAAAAGGTCGTGCTTAACCCTTCGGTACCCGCACCCGGTCTCTGAGACCAACACAGTGTTGACACTAATTATTTTAAGACGTCAATAGTCGTATTTTTTCCGCCACCCATGTACCTTCCTAGCTCGAGGCGCCCATCGTCAGTGCCAAGTTATTACTCGATCGGTGCAGACGCACAGCATTTAGTAGTGAAATCGGTTCGTGAGACCGAAGCGGGTAATGTCGTTAGGGTTTTTATTTCGAAAGGTGGGTATGGTTCATTTCGCATTCTGACAATATAATTACTCTTGATTTAGTTTTTGTGTGTGTTAGCCACTAGCATTTTGGTATTGTATTTTTTTCTTCATTCTAAGCAATGGGAGACTATGAAGTGGAGCAGACGCGTCTCATGAATCTCATGCAGGAGGCGCCAGCAGAATCTGATATATCTATTGATGAAGGGCATGACGACATACCCTCAGAATCTGAGGATGATATTTTGGAAACAAGAGATAATGACTCAGAAACCGAACAGGAGATATCTGACCAGGATGATGTGAATGAGGAGGAGGAAGTTTCCAATCGATTTGTAGCTGGAGATGGCATGACATGGGGAAAAATGGTACCACCAAAAACTGTGCGGACGAGGGCTGAAAATATGGTAACTAGGCTTCCAATATCAAGATTACCCACAAGGTTATTAAAAAAGCTATTATTAGTATGGAAGTATTTTATCAACGATGTAATGTTGGACTCAATTTTGATGAATACTATTAAATTAATCGATTCGATAACCGAAAACTATTCAAAAGATAGAGATGCAAGAGAGACAATTGAAGCAGAAATTCATTTTGAGCTGCTATACTATGCAGGTGTTTTGAAGGCTAATAACTTGAATACCAAAGATGTTCGGGATACCAATGGATCAGGGGTAGAAATTTTTCGTCTAGCAATGTCCCTGAAACGCTTTCGTTTCCTACTTACTGCCTTGCGTTTCAACGATAAAGCCACTCGATCACAGAGGAAAGAGACTGATAAGTTAGCCCCAATCAGAGAATATTTTGATTCATTTGTCAACAATTGCAAAAGTGGTTATAGTATGTCGGAGTATGTGACGATCGACGAAAAATTTGAGGCTTTCCACGGTCGATGTGGGTTTCGCCAGTATATCCCATCAAAGCCAAACATGTATGGAATTAAAATATTTGCCCTTTCGGACACACGAATGTATTACACAGCCAATCTAGAAGTGTATGTGGGAAAGCAGCCGCCCGGTCCATTTCAACAAAGCAATTCTCCAGGAGATATCGTTATTACAAAAAACAAATAACGGTTGTCGGAACGATAAGGAAGAACAAACGGGAGTTACCAGTGGAATTTTCCAATCCTGTACAACGTCCGCCAAATACAAGCATGTTCGCTTTCAGAAAAGAGTGCATCTTAGTATCCCCGAAAAAGAAGAAATGTTTTACTGCTGTCAAGTCTTCACCACGATGATGCAATAGATAATGGAACTGGAAAACCAGAGATTATTATGTTATTCAACAGTACCAAAGGTGGGGTGGATACAGTTGACCAATTATGCAGCAACTACAACTGTGCTGGAAATACACAGAGGTGGCCTATTGTGGTATTTTATTCAAGTCTGAACGTGGCTGGAATAAATTCGTTCGTGATACATTGCTCAACTAACCCTGATCCCAAAATTCGGCACAGACAGTTCCTCCAGCAACTTTCTATGGAATTGGTTCGTCCCCATCTATTTGTACGCTCTTCGTTGCAGATCTCCCGCCCGATGAAACTTCGCATTCAAGAGATTTGTGATATAAGGAAAGCTCAAGGAGAAAATCTACAACCACTTCCCGATAAAGGACGATGCCACTACTGTGACAGCAAAAGGAACAGAAAAACCCGATATCACTGCAGAAAATGTAGAAAATTTATGTGCCTAGAGCATGTTACTAGTGTGTGAAACATGTTTCGGAAAGTTTTCTGACTAACTGTTTCCATCTATAACGTATTTCTTCAATTCGTTTCATTTGAGGTTATTTTGATACATGCTTCAATATTTTTCAATATTTTTTTCGAGTTGTAGTATTTTGTTTCATAAATAAATTGATCATTTGTATATTTATGTTATTTTTTTCTGCATAATTCATTTAAAATCATCATAGAGATCAACATAAAGAACCGGAAAACAGAACGGTCCGTGAGACCGACGCGGGTAACGCATTTCAAAATTTGATGCGGGTACCGAAGGGTTAAGTGGCGCATTTCAATGGCAAATCAGGCGCATGAGAGATCTACCTAGCAACACTGGGTGGAGAAATTATAGAACCTTAGATTTTCAAGAGAATTCTCAATGGAAATGTTTATCTCATTTTCCTGCGTGATCAACAAGAAGAAATATATTTTTCCAGCATGATGGATGCCCGGCCATTTCGCTATTAATGTGCGGAATCATTTTGAATCACAAGATATCCTGACAAGTGGATTGGGAGGGGTATTTGGGTGATCAGCTGGGTCTCCAGATCTGACTTTTTTAGATTTTCATTTATGAGTGAGATTGAAACGATATTTTTTTGTTCTAAAATTTGTTCTATCCATCATTTGGTTGCCCCCTTACGAGCAACCCTCAAAAGTCTTCGAAAGTCTTGTGCGAGCAAGGAATGACGGTGGTCTTACCTTTTAACGTGTGATCCCAAACACCTACTTGGGCCATCAGAAAAATGTCTGCAGTCGACGGGGATCGAACCCACTACCGGCAAGCGAATGCGAATTAGAATATAGACACTCTGTCCGCACGGCTACCTGGCCTATATGATCAATAGGATCAGATTATCCACTCGACAGAGACTAAGTTCATGTTAATTTGAGCACATAGAATGACACTAATGCTACTAATCATTTCAATACCTATTTGATTTATATTTCGTAACATTATTTCGATGATTTCTCCAGTTTCTCAAGAGGTATCAACTTGCGGTTTTCACCATGTTTCTTCTCGTTTGCTCTACTTCTGTATTAGCGTGAGAAAAATATCGTTTGAAATCCTCGAATAGAAAGTAAAAATTGTATGATTTTGCAAGGTGCCATCTAGCGGCCACCACAGGATTTGAGTCGACTCGATTCGTGATTTATCAACTCTAGATTAAGGAAAAAGTGGTTTTGACATGTCTGGATATATCAGATTCTCATAAAAACCTGTTTTTCAAACTGACGAATGCACTTATGTCCTCTAGCAGCCGTCCTGTAAAAAAAGAAAATAATTTCCGGAGATTTCTCTTGCCCCCTTTCATCATAAATATTTTTTCCCATACCTGTGCGGCAAATAGTTTCCGAGATAAAACCGGTGTCCATTCTTAGTGGTACACCCATCCGTACGTAGTCTCTAAAATATGAAATCAATATTTCTATTTTATTTACCAGAATTACCCACGCTGCTTGGTTCAATACCACGAAACCCTGATGAGTGTGGATAATACCAAGACAGGAATTGAATCATTCCGAGGTGGTAACTTCGGGATGAAACGAACAGAAAAGCCTTACTAGAGAATCCTTGTGGATCTGACATTAGAGCAGATGATAAATGCAGATGCTGCACG